ATTATGAGGCATTCATCAATGTCCGAGGATATTCGGCGGATAATTTTTCGAAAAAAAAATCATAACTCAACATAACGAAACATTTATTTATTAAAAGTACAGTTAGTGAAAGTACAATTATTAAAATTTAAATTAACATTAGATTCGTTGCTGTTCTCTACTATAGAAGATCTATTACCACGCATAATATTTATAATCTTGTTGTGGTGTTCTTGATCGAGATTCAAGTATGGTTTTATAGAATTCTGATTGCCATGACCAGTAATTTTTAGCAATTGTTGTTCTTCTACACCACTTTTTGCTAATTCGCTAACAGCAGCTGATCTATTCGAGTGATTTGTTATCTTTTTCTCCTTTACATTCAAGCCAATTGCTTCAGCAGAAGATTTAGTCCATTAATTCATTGTATTTCTTCCAACAGGTACATTATCGTACCATTTGTCAGTTTCATTTTTCCAGTTTCGATTTGGTTTTTAGAACAGTCGTGGTAAGGTAATATTGTCGCCTCGTTTTGATATCAGTTTATGAAAAAGACGTACAGGGCATCTTTGTCTCTCACTATTGATAACCAACCATTTACTACTTGCACAGCTTTTAGAATCACCTTGGCACGTTTTACTGAATACCGGATTGTATTCAATGCGATTTTTTGGAGTGTCATCGTTATTTTTCTCATTTTGACATTTTGAAATTTATTTGGATGAAGTTGTCAAACTCGATCGTGTTGTCATAGGGATTGAAAATTGCATAGAATGCAATTATCAGTCTAATGTTGACATGATTGGGTTAAATTGTTCCACATGACACAAAATGATGAAATTTGAATGTTTGTTAGAACAGTCGAAAAATTATCAGTGTAACGAAATGTACACGCTATGAGCCACTAAAATAGATGGGTAAAAACCCGTTAAATGTTGTTAATTTAAATTTTTGTTACATTGTTATTAACAGGTCCTCGAAGACACTTTGTCTCAGGACCAAGTAACCTTATGTAGAGTCATACTTAGAATTTGGAAATATATGACCCAGATAAGCAGTTTTTCTTCTTTTGTTATTGGCAGCAATTCATATTCTCTGCCTATTCGATTTAATACTTTGACATTTGTTGTGTGATCTGTCCAGGAAATTTTAAGTAGTTTTCCAAACACCCACATTTCAAAGGCCTCCAATCGGTTCATCACATTGGCCTTTATGGTCCAGGTTTCTACACTCGTCCAGGTTTCCTCAGTCGATGAATTATAATTATTATTGTGGATTGTAATCGGTCTTGGAATTTTCGATATTGTAAATTATCTCCTATTGAATAATCAAAGAAAGAAAAATGCAATACTTGGGTCATGTGTTGAGAGGCGAAAAATATAAATTACTTTAAGTTATACTGAAAGGAAAAGTACAGGGCAAAAGATCAGTAGGAAGACGCCAGAACTCATGGCTAAAAGACCTAAGGAGATGGTTTGACCGCTCATCCGCAGAAATCTTTCGCGCAGCAGTTTCCAAAACCACAATTGCCATTTGGATCGCCAGCCTTCGAAAGGAGACGGCGCCATGAGAAGAAGAAATTATCTCCACGTTCTTTATCTCTAGATTCTTGACTTTGTGAGAGTGGCATAACTTTAATGATATTTAAGATAGATTCTCATATGAACAGTATCGTCATATATCCAATTATTTCAGCCGACATATTTTCAAAATGTATATCAACGTATTTATTTGAAACCATTTGTTCAGGCTGGCTTAAAGGACTACGCAGATATTCTGCGTTTATAGTATAGGAAATCATTCAACTTCCTAAAGAAAAATACAAAGTATATGGAAATAAAACATCACTAAAAATAATTTTATTCACAGTCAACATTTAACAACTAACAGTTAGATATATAGATCTATATTAAATAAAAAATAAAATAAAACTTAAGGTACTAAGTGTAAACTCAAGTAAAATAAAAAATAAGTAACATCACAATATATCCAACAAACAGTAACGATGCGACGTATTACTAGAAAACGAAAAGAAAAACTTGCATAAATATGTATCAAATATTTAAGTAAACGGGCTTTATTTGTAGCAAAAATCAACAAGTTTGGTTTCATATAATTCAGTTATTAATAATATTAATCATTTCTTAACATAAATGAACCTAATAGACTGAGAAGATCAAGTTCATGCACTGATCCATTTTGATTTAATTGAATCGCTAATAGTAACGATTTTGTCCAGCTCATTTTTTTTAACCATCGTTTCAGGACCCTACTGTTTGTTGGTTATACCGTGGTAACATTATATTATATACAATAACATTTTTAAGTGTTTTTAGGCCCACTAAATACTGTTTCATTAAAATTCGTTAGTCAGAAAAATGTGCTCTATGTGGCAGTGTATGAAGAAATTTAAATTTTTTTCTTCGGTCATTTTAAATTTTAAATTCTTTATAAGTATCGGTGAATTAAGGGTAACAATATTGAGAGTGCGATATGAACAACCCAACGAAACCTACTAGAAAAACTCTTATTAATCACTGCGCAACAATATATTTGTTTCGGTTTCCAAAATTTTGTGGATAAAGATAATAAATGGTACATATTAAGGCAAGTAGAACTGAACGATCACATTCGAGATCTTAACTAGCCACAGGAAAAGACAGAGCTTCCAAGGAAGGAGACTGTAGTGATAGAGTCTACTCCAATGTGATGTCAGGGTATCGGATTGAAGATATTGGCAGCAAGATCTGCTGCCATTTCTTGAAAAAAAGATAATCTTTTTATTTGTAAAGAAATTTATGATTTCATAAGAATATCTAAATTTGCACCATTATCTATCTAAGTGTATACAATTCATAGACTTCTCTGAACTTAGTTTAAAATCTTTATTACTTCATAATGGTAACCATCTTACTTTTACTCCTGTTGGTTATATAAAAAACATTATATACAAAACTTAAAAGCACTCCTCGAAAAATGTTAAATATAAATGAAAAATCTGTGATGTTCTGAAATTGATTAATTATCTCTTAGTAATGAAGTTTGGCTACACCATAAAATACTGTTTTTATGTAGGTGGGACAACGGAGATAGAAAATCATATTATATCAAAGTACACTAGCCAGCAATAAACCTTAACTCTAACAAAAAAAATGTCGTTGTTGAGCCTCTCGTAAACCCAAAAGATATTTTACTTCCACACTTACATATTAATCTGGATTTAAAAAGAATGAATTTAAAAGTATTGTCATGAAAATGAACCACAAAGCCATTAAATATCTAAGAGACAAATTTCCTTTATTAAGTGAAGGTAACTTTAAAGAAGGTTATTTTGTACAGGATTTGACAGAGCTTTGAAAGGCAAAGAAGAAGCTTGGAAAGCTCTCAAGGATGTTATTTGTGAAAGTATTACTTGGAAAGTTCATCAAGCAAACGTACAATATCTCTAAAATGCACTCCACCATTCCTAACTTGAGTTGTTTGCCATAGTTCCACTCGAAAAGGATACTAATGTCATTGGAGAGAAGGTGCCTTACGGATTACTTTTAGTTTGTAAGGAGGGATGCCCTTAAATTAACTTACAATAGACAAGCTGAAAGACGACGGTCAAACGAAGCTTTTACATAATTCTCCTTAAGTTTCTCAATACGTAATTCAACCTTATTAGGTATCATCAGAGCGACATATATAGAGCCTCTGCATATGTCGCTCTGATCACACCTAATGAGATTGAAATAAAATGTGTTAAAATTAAATCTAATGCCGTCTGTGTAAGTTCTTTACTTGGTTTTGAGTACTAGAAATTAAATTCACTAAGAATTTTTGCCGTGATGAACGGCATGTGGAATGCAAATTATTGATTCCCTTGTCGACTAATTTAACAATCTGTCTGCTTTGCAAGTTTTAGGAAGCACAGTGGTAAAAATTTGTATTTAGTTTTGCCAAGTAGGAAATCTTAGGATTTCTAATATTGTTATCTCATTAATTTAAAAATCTATGAACACAATCCTCATTAAACAAAACTCAAATTGACTCTTAGTAGCTCTTCTTCTTGTAGTACCTATCGATTTCGGATGTTAGCCACCATCATAATAGTTGCAGCTCACTATATAAAAAAATTATTTGTTTCATCTTTTAATTTTTAAAAATAACATGTGATAAAACAAAACGATTATAATTTCTTGCGAATTTTATTTTGTGATATCATCAGAAGTGAACTATAAATGTATTAAAAATATCGTAAACTAAAGTGAATTTCAAGATTTGAAAAACTATCTCATGCTCTACATAATATCTCATTGAATTAAACATTTTTACTTAATTAATTGGTTATAAGTATCTATGAGAAATTAAGGCAGATGTGAGCTACTCCAATGCATTCTGCAAGGTAAAATTAAAGGAAGAATGGCCCAGGATGAAGAAGAATATCCAGTATTGCTAACCTAAGAGCATGGTATAGAAAGACCTCAACACCGTTATTTCGTATAGCAACCAACAAAGTCATCATAACCAGAATGATCGCCAACGTTTGGAACGGACAAGCACTCTAAGAAGAAAGTAACTAATTCACCGATACTTCATAAAAATCCTTTTTCCTAAATTATCACAAAATGCGTTAATAAACTGAGGGGAATTATTTTGTTCAACACACTTTTCCCAAACGATTTGTTTTAAATGTGCCCTACTATTTAATATATAGCTGAAGAAGTAAAATAATACAGTAAAAAGTGATGGAGAAACAAATGTTAGACTAGAATACACAACTGCATTGTGTATGTTTATTATATATAATTTATATTTATATGTAATTCAACCCATTAGATATAAAGTAAGTAGAATCTTTGAAAATAATTGAACAATAATCAATGTTTTAACAAATTTTGTGAAAATTTAGCAAACAACAATTGTAACATTTTATTTATGGTTTATAAATACTTGTAAAAATATTTATCTACAGTAAACTGGCACCATCTTTTCGATTTTTTTCTGTAAAAATTGAAGTCTTCACGTCGAAGAATTGTTCAGTTCTTTTTTAAAAATGGCCATGGGACGGGTGCCAAGACAGTGATGAGGACTAAGCCCACTACTAGCACTACTACTATCACAATATATATTCCTAATATGCATTTTCTTGCGGTTGAAAACTGAAAAAGAAAAAAACTGGGTATTAACAAATATATACATATATATTGTTCTTTCAATGGATATTTAAAATGTTTTACAAGTAAATAAAGTCTCTGAAGGATCTGCACTCTAATGGAAATCAGGTTTTTTTTTCATTTAAATTTACGTGTCTGGACAGCTTATGTCACTGACACAGGTAAAATTGCATTATAATTTATTACAACCATATACACTGTACAATTAATAATTTTCATATTTTAAACATATCGTCTTGTCTTCTAAATATCTTGGTAAAGTCTGGTTTCACAGAGAAAACTGATACTGTTTAGAATTGATCTAAGGAGCTGAGAATATTGTGTAAGTTTTGGCTAAGATGAATATTTTTCTGTATTTATTAAAATGAAGACGGTCTACGAGATATACGAACAAAATTATAGTTATTACTACAAAATGAGCGAGAAGTACTAACAGAAATACTAACAACATGTTAACAACCAGTTAATACACAGATCAAAATTATATTTCTTAGTCTCCGCTCCACATTCTGCCCAACGCCCCAATGAAGCATTACTCTTCTTCATCTTCTTCTTCTTCTTCTTAGCCGTATGTCGTCCATGTTTGGACATAGGCCTCTCCCAACTCCTTCCATCGGTCTCTATCCCGAGCAACATATTTTCAATTTGTTCCGGTTATTCTTTTAATGTCATCAACCCATCTCATCTGTGATCTTCCTCTTGGTCGTTTACTTTCGTAAGCAGCATTACACAATGAAGCATTACACCGAGCGTTAAACGCTATTGTTTCCGATCAAATTTAATACGGTTTAAAAAAAACAAAAGAAAAACTCGAAACTTAAGTTACTCTTTAAAAAAAAAGTTTACTCTTTGAGTTCAATCAGAATCTCCAGCTTTTTTGTCATATCTACAAAACCCTTATCTACTATTTTCAACAGTATATTTTCCAAATTCATCATCATAAGTAGCTTGACAATCCGTTGTGGATTTTGGCCTGCTCACAAAGAAATCGCCACTCCTGTCAATTCCTGGCAACTGCTCTCCATCGTCTGACCCTTAGATATGTAGGTCTTCTTCCAAATCATCAATCCATCTCCTTCGTGGTCGTCCTCGACTTCTTGTGCCCTTTAGTTTTAAAAATGGTAATTTCTTCGTGTATTCGTGATCTGGGCGAATATCAAGCCGGGTTTAGGACAAACAGATCAACAATAGATCAACTATTCACTCTGAGACAACTTCTAGAAAAGGGATGGGAGTATAACAGACCCATATACAATCTTCTCATAGACTTTCGACAGGCATATGATAGCGTAGAAAGAAGCCATGTATGGAATGCCATGGCGGAGTTCTCAATACCAAAGAAACTCATTCGGATGACCAAAGTCTGTATGGAGGGTGGAATATCTAAAGTACGTGTAAATAATAAACTGTCTGGCAGCTTTGAAATCAACAGTGGACTTAAACAGGGTGATGCGTTATCTCCATTACTTTTTAACCTTGTATTAGAGAAAGCCATGAGGTCGACCGGAATAAAAACAGAATTGCTATCGGTTTAAGGTCCCAAGCTGTTACTCGCATATGCAGATGACATAGATCTCGTTGGAGACTCCATTCTATCCACGATATTTTCTATTTAAAACGTGCTTTAACTAAATAGTTATCACTATCTATGTTTGATCCCCTAAAAGACCCAACATCTAATAAGTTACAGCAATGTCTTGCATCGATGATTATATGATCTATTTACTTAATCGTTTCATTATCAGGAGATTTCCAAGTTCCCTTATGTATATCTTTATAGGGAAATAATGTCCCAGCTATTACCATGTTCTTAGACATCGCGAATTTTATGATTCTGAGACCGTTATCATTAGAGTCTAAGTGTATTTTAAAATAAGAGAGGCGTTCTATAATAGATTTGGTTGTGCTAAGGGGACGGTTTGTTTGAACATTTAATTCGTTTTTTATTATTATTCTCTAAACTTTAGATTTAAAATATCATCCTATTGTATTACGAATTATTTTACTGAATAGTATATATAACTTACCCTGGCGTCCAAATTTCTTTCATTATAATGGGAATTTCTTCCACCTGCCCCAAGATCCTTCATCGGGAACGAAGAAACTCTACTGTCTGATGATTTTTCTGATACGCAGTATAAAAGCTAAAATACAATAGCAATTAAAATATTATTACATGAAAAAAGAAAAGTTAATAGAAAGTTGAAGAAACAAGATATAGTTGAAATTTTTACCGTCTTCAAAGAGAGTAATATATTATTGATCTTGCATGCACAGGCGCAATCATTGGTCATATAATTATTATCCTCAGTGTGCGTCTGGCCGTAGTGTGGAAACTATGATGTATTACGTAATAAACCTATTTCTCGCTTACTAATAATCCGGCTCGAAGGACCAATTAAGGAGAGATTTTAAAAAAGCCGTAAGAGGCTGATTTTATATTTTTATTGTATTAAACTTTAATATACTTCACAAAAAGATAAGATAAAATCACGTAGTTTGTTAATCCATTATCTTAAAAAAGAAAAAAATATCAATATCCAATAGAACAAACTGCTTTTAAAGTGGTTTAAAAAAAATTGAATCAAAGACCACAAATAAAGAAATAAAAAAGGTGCTGCTAAAGGCAAAAATAGATTAATCGCACTAAACTTTTTCGGAGCTCAGATCGATTCTTTAGATTGATTTTGTTGCCAAACATAAACGTCGATGAATAAGTTCAACGTTTTCCTAAAAGTTGCCTATTAATTCGATCTGGAACTTTTGACTGATGAGGTAACTTTGTTTGTCTAATATTTGTTTGTCTAATTATTATTATTGCTGTTATTTCAAGTATATACTATTATGGTCCATATTTATATCCTTGCCTAAACAGCAGAATGATAACCACTTAAAGTATCCAAAATAAGAGATTATTGTGGAAGAATGTAGTTAAATCTTGTAATTTTACTTAAAATTATACTTACCGACAACAATAAATGTGCCACCACGTGTACTACCACGTAGGCTACAAGGATATATTCAACTTGTTCGGGTAACTCTGCTTTTGTCTGTCCAACCGCAAAGAACAATGTAACAACTAAAACAATATACATAATCACTACCTGTGTATTCAATGTAATTCATTTTTTTTTTTTTTCGTTTTGGAAGTGTCTAAATAATTCTTGTTTTTTATGTAACTATGTCCGTTCTAGCTTGTATGTAAGAGTAGTTTCAGCACGACTGCTCTACTTGCCATACAGCTCATAAAACATTGGACAATCTGCCCGAGCGATTTGCCCCAAGGATGTCGAGAACATTTTAAAGAAAATGTTCCTATGGAAAGTAAACAGCCGGTAGTCATAGCAAATATTTGTTTGACTGTTTGTATTATATAAATAAAATCAAAAATTTAATAAGTATTACTTACTTGCTATAATATGCGCACTATTACCCACCAACCAATGAGCCCAGTTAAAGATTGGTCTTTTTGACGTTCCAGGATGCGGCCTGAAGTAGGCTCCTATCGGCTGGAAGAAGCACAAAATCGTAGTAACTGTACCCAAGATAGCGTGAGTATTATTTGGAGACCAGGCCTTTAATTCTACAAATATTAGTACAAAAGCTGCCATTGTAAACAACCACGTCAAAACCATGAAAAATCGATGCATCTAAAATATAAACCGTAAAATTAGTTTTAAAACTTTATAAATCTTTTATAGGTTGCTTTTAAGGGGGCATATAAAACCAAAATATAATACAATATACTAAAAGTGTAATCAATATAATTTTGTAATTTAGCACAAAATAATTTAACATATTTTACAAATAGTTTTATGTCGGAACGATATTTCAGTAGGCTATCAGAGTCATTTAGATGTGTGTGTTCAACTTGGCAAATTTTATTTTGTCTCTGAGATGAGCAAAAGTAGAGTAGTAGTTTTGGATATTCAAACATTTTCAAAATAAAATCATAAAAATTTCTTAAAGAATTTTGTAATATAAGGAAGTATAGCCTTAAAAGCTGAGAAGAAAAAATGTGCCTAAACATTGAACCAAAGCTTTATTACGCCCTATATACAAAAAGGAGGATAGATTGGCATGTGAAAATTACAGAGGTGTTGCTTTGTTTGATACTTGTTACAAGGTATTAGGCAGGGTGTTAAGAGAGAGACTGAACAGATTTGCTAAAGATATACTAGGAGAGTATCAGGCTGGTTTTGGAGTTAATATATCAGTGACATATAAGATTTTTACACTCAAAGAAATCCATACTACCTGCTATGAACATAAGGTAACCCTTCATGCAATGTTCATAGATTTTTAACAAGCGTATGATATAATAACAAGACGAGAAAGGTCAGGAAAAACGGGAACTGAATGCCAGATTGGCAAAAGGATATGAAAAGATGGAAAGCCTAAGAACATTGATGAAATAATAATATGTATTGAATAAAAAAATATTAAGGGTATATAAAATGGTAATACAGCTAATAATTACGTATGGTAGTAATGTAAGAACAATCAAAAAAGCAAACACGGATAAATTGAAAAGATAGGAAAGGAATATGCTTAGTGCCATATATGAAGGAAAAAACACGGTGAAAGGTTGGGTCCGACAAACAAACAGAGAGCCAGAACAACTCTATAACCAACCGCATCACACGCTTCATAAAGTCATGGAGAGTGAGATTAAAGTAGCACGTGATAAAAGTGGAAAGTTAGAGGATGTCAAAAATGATCATAAAATGTGGCCTATTTACGAATAGAAGGAAAAGACGTCTCAGACAAAGATGATTTGATAGCGTAAAAGATCTTAGGAAAGATTGGAAATAATGGTTGGGAATAAAGAGCAACAAACAGGTATGCATGGAGGAGAATACACATAATACAAGTTTTGTAATATACAATTATTGTATTAGTTGTATTTAAACCTTTAAGACCTTTTGTGCTTTTGTAAATAATAAATAATATAAGTGAAACAAACTTTAGTAATTGTTCCGTCGAATATTCACATATTGTATTGAACAAATTAAAGCAAAATTTAAATTTATATTTAAAAGCAAATAAACCATTAGAATGGCCTTAAAAGTTTCTTATTATTTGAAATTACTTACCGCAAACCACATATCTTTTCCCATTATAGTAGTTCCAACCCACGTCTGTCGATAGTACCTGGCTAATATAATTCCCAGTGAAGCTGTTCCTATCCATGCAACCAACATAAACGATCCGTGCAATTTTATCAACAACTTGGAAGCTGCTTTTACTTCTCCCGTATCTGCTAATGCCAGTGCATCAGCGCTTGCTAAAACTCCGAGGTCATGATAACCTACAGATGTCGCTAAAAATATTTTTATTGTTAATTAAATGAGATGAAGCTTGAAAGGGTAAAACAAAACGTTGTTGACCTATTAACTTTAAGATTGAAATATACTTACGACTAATTTTGGATCCAGTTGCAACTAACAAATTATACCTATTATTCACCAAGTCAAATGTTATTCCGCTTACATTGGTAACTATATTTCGTCTAACTTTGCAGTAAATCGTGTCGTCAACAATACTTGAATTAAGAAGTTCGATGCCAAGTTGTGGCTAAAAACAAAAAAAAAACAAGATTGTTTATTGATTTCAACAATAGTTTTCAAACATGCTTATGTGTGACAAGAGAAAAAAATTCAGACAAAAATGTATTGAATTAAGAATTAGTCCTAGCACCCTTCCTTTTCAATATGTTACATACTCGTTCTCATCCATATTGCTATTAGCCCAGTCTGGTTATGCAAAAAGCATCGATTTCACGGCAAAATTTTTCGCAGACATCGGAAGCTTTTAAGACATAGGTGGGGGTTATTAGATGACGAATAGATGAAAAGGTACTCCTATTTTTACTTTGCGTTTTTTTTTAAACAATAATTTGTGGTCACAATTTGATTTTTTTTCCTTATATTTTACAGAGATTTTCTTTATACAGACCTTTTGTAGCTTCTATGAGTTCCAGCTGTATTTCTAATTTGTACATTGCCTCCCATAGTTCTAACCTTGGTACAGAGTCATACGCCTTTCTCAGGTCCACAAACAGTTGTTCCAGTTCCAGTTGTTCTAGCAGTGAAGCCTGCCTGATCCTCCCCAATTTTACCCTTTATCGCTTGCTCTATCTTTTCTCGCAGTATCTTCCCATATAATCTTCCTATTGATGATATTACGCTTATTCCTCTGTAGTTTTCGCATCGTTTTCTATCTCCTTTCTTAAATATCCATTGTATCATCTGGTGTATCTTTTGAGCCCTATTTTATAAGCTCATGTGAAATTTTTAAGCCCTATTTTTATAAGATCAGGTGGTTCGTCGTAAATCGGTAAAATAAAGTTTGAAATTTAAATCAAAAGAACCATATAATTTAGTTGTTAGAACAAACAATACTTACATTGTCCAATCTTGTAGCTTTGTAAGGCATAACAGCAGTAAACGACATGTAAGCCTTCAAACCATTCCCGTCGTTGACACATTCAATAACGGAATCGTCTCCCATTTTAGCGTCGAGTGATAGACCTACACCTGCCCATTTGGGAGTTCCCTTTTCAGTTGCTCGAGACTTCACCTCAAAATCATACTTATCTCCAGTAACCGTAACAGCTGTGGCAACGATGCAGTTTCCGGAGTTGATGCAATTGACGGGATGACCGAAGCACAGCTTGTCATTTCCACATCCTTTGTAGAAGGGATCGTACTCGAAGGCCTGTTCTTTGGATGCGGGTGGAGAGAAATATGGAGGAGTGGTGGTTTCTGTTGTTGGTCGGTTGTTGAATATGGATTGGGAGTTGGGTGAAAGGACCTGCGGATCAGGGCTGGCGAGGAATGCTAAGTTGTGGAAACCAACTGATCCAGCTGCAACAAATTATTTTATTTATTAGTAAACTTACAGATATGGTTGTAAAACTATTTTCTTGTGAAAGTTTGTTGATATCTACAAGCATTAATGTAAATAAACAACAATTTTAATTGAAAATACGTTATAGTTTACGTTTTGATTTCCATATCGTAAATCATTCTTAAAATAAAAATTATGTGTCAAATATACATTTGTGTCATTTTAATTAGTGATTACTATGTAAATGGGAATAAGCCACAATTAAAAGTTAAAGTAATTTATTGACGTTTCAATTTACTAATGTTTGTATTTTGAGAACGATTTCCGAAGTGAAAATTGAAACGTCAATAAAGTTACTTTAACTTTTAACTGTGACTTATTCCCATTTAAATAGTATTTACTTTAAAATACCACAAGAGCTTCAGAACATGCAAAAAAATTAAGATGTAAGATGATTAATGTATAGAAAACTTAAAGTGGAGATCGTAATTAAAAGAAAAGGTACATTATGTAAAGTTAAAAATATTAAACCTTACTTTTAAGATCACTTCCAGAAGCAACTAATACATGGAAAGAATTCTTTCTGAGATCAAAAATGTTTCCTTTTACATTGGTAACGGTGTCTCGTCGAACTTTACAATAAAATTCTTCTCCATTAACGCTTGCGTTGAGAAGATTGATTCCCAGTTGGGGCTGCAAAAAAAATAGTAATTATTCGCACTGAGTATGTATGAACTAAAAAAAGAGATACGTTAACTCATTTTATGTAAAATATTTCATGAATTATTAGAGTATAAAGTAGTATAAATCAATTAACGGGATGACCAAACGAGTTAAGAAAATATAAAACATACATGGACAGAATAGATTTAAATAGCAGGTAACTTAAAGAAAGATGATAAAAATAATCACCAATAAGAACCACCAATGATTCTTGAAGTTAAAGATGCAGTTAAAAAACTAGCCAGAAACAAATCATCCGGAATAGATATGGATAGGTATGATCTTTGACTAAGAACTAACTTGGAAGATACATTTAGGTTAAGATACAAAAGGTTAAGGACCACATGCTTTACAATACGCTAGCTTTAAAAAATTTCAAAACATCTGAATACATTAGGGAATTTATCAAATATTTAGCAAAACCAAAATAAGAAAAAGACTCTTAAATTAAAATATAAATACCATTGCTTATTATAAAAAATTCGATCCACAAAACTTAGAAAACAGTTAGAACAGTATATGTTTTATGTATCATATACTTAAGCAGACAAGTATCTATCTGGTCAGCATTGAACATTGGTTAATGATTTACAGTCTGTTTCATATAAGATTAGAATCACGGATATGATTGCTACCGCTGATAAAGGGGCGAGACTCCTATGAAAGAAAACATTTTTAATCACGGATAATTTATGTGTACAAAATAATAATTATTATGAGCGTATTATTAAATATACCTTTAATAATATCAGCTAAAAATGTTACACAACACAAATAATTTAACTGTGAGAAAAACGCATGAACCACAAACCACACATTAAGTCGATGTAAAACTGACCCTTACTGATGTCTATGGTAAAAACTGTGACTTGTGTGTGTAACAGAAAATTTGACAAGATGAAAAAGTGCACTGAGAAAATCAGGTCATCATTAGCTCCACAACCCATGGTAAGTATTGGCCTGCCCAAGGATATAATTCTCCAGTTTCATACTCCCAACATTGGTACGAAACCCACACTGATATTTACCTATTATGTCTTTACGATATCCCGATATTCGGTCGTAAATATGCCAATATTTTGTATGTTACGTTTAAGAGGGTTATTCCTCTGTAGTTGTCACATATTGTTTGATCTCCTTTCTTGTGGATAGGTACAATTATACCCACATTCCAGTCTTCTGGCAACTTTATTTGCTTGCAGATCAGTTCTACCAGTCTACATATACAGTATGTCAGGTTTTTTGTCTTGCTTTAAAAGTTCTGAAGGAATGATATCTGCTCCAGGAGCTTTGTTTTCTTTCAACTTCCGTTTCTGTTTCTGAGAGAGAAAATAGAGAGTTCAGAAATTGTTGAGAAAAAACGCCACCAACCAAAACACCAAAATTGACTGTAACACTCTTAAACGGAAAGATAAGTTTGGGATGTCCTGTTGGAGGCGAATGTTTAGAATGTCATGAGTGACTCAACGGAACAAATAATTTAATACTAAGACAAGTTAACACCAAGAAAAGACTAAGAATCCATTTCCTTAAGACTAATAATGAAAACGCAGACTTGTACTTGTCATCAACTTTTGATGAATAGCAATTAGAGATAAAGCATAAAAAACACTTATCATCTTTATCACCAGTTCTTATAAAACCAAGACTTTGTCTATATGTGCAACAAGTGTGTTAGTTTTAAGAAAAAATTTATTTCATTTTATTGTAAACCTATCTAAGAGCTACATCATAAAATGTTATACTCGGATATGCTTTAAATGGAGAATAATATAAAACCATTAACAAGGTAAGACTAAAAATCAATGGGATTTAAGACTAAATATTAATAACAAAAAATACTTACATTTTCCAATCTTGTAGCCCTAAAAGGAGCCCGTCCTGTCCAAGACATATAAGCATTGACCCTTCCATCTTCTTTGACGCACTCCACAACGGAATCGTCTCCCATTTTATCATCATCCGATAATCCCACTCCCATCCACACCGGGTTCCCATTGGCTTTCATCTCAAAGTCAAAAGCATCTCCAACGGAAGTTATTGCAACAGCCACCTTGCAGTTTTGGCTGCTTACACAATCGATGGGGGCTCCGTAACAATATTTGGTCACACCACAACCGCTGTAGAATGAATCGGCAGGAACGGATCTTTTACGGATCTGGACTGGTTGCGATTGGATGCCCACCCAGAAGGTACTATAATCTTGAGCTATTGTTGAACTAGAAAAAAAGAAAAAAAACACACTTATAAAAATCCTACTTCAATAGGTTGTAAAATCTAAATTTTTATAGTATAAAAACTTTTTTATTTGATTTAAGCAAAAATGAATCTAAAAGGAAATATAAAACGTTTTCGGTCTTATCAGGTCTTGGTCTTGGACTCTTGGTACATTTGCAACCATAATTTTTGTTTGATATTTTAAAAAACATAAATAGTAATAATGGTTTGCAAAAATACCCAAGTCCTTAAAGAAAGGTGAAGAAATAATAAAGTTAGAGAGAGTGGAAACTTTTAACGAATTTATAAAATAAAAAATGAATAAAAGAAAACGCGACCTGAAAACCCTACCACTAGACCTTAGCCAGAAAGTTACACGAACTTTACTTTAGTGGAAAATAACTATTTTATGCCTAATGTATATTACATGTGTATTGGAGACAACGAAGTACAGCTGGTGGAAAAATATATGTACGTTGGACACGAAATAAAGATCACAAGAGACAACCAAACATGCGAACTACGAAGAAGAATAAACCTAGCATGGACAACCTATGGAAAACTCAAAGACATCTTTAAAAGCGATATACCAATTTCTTTAAAACGTAAAACATTTGACCAATGTGTGTCGACTGTGATGAACTATGGTGCCGAAACTTTGACATTGACAGCTACAAGTTCTAAAACGCTGCAAATAGCTCAGAGGAAAATGGAAAAGTCAATGCTGAGTATATCGGTTCGTGACCGAGTTAGAAATGAAGACTTAAGATAAGATGTAGACGATGAGATTGCTTGGGTGGAAGCCTCTACTCGTTGAACTGACGACCTTAAAAACATGTCAAGAAATTGGATAAAAAGTACTTAATATAGAGCACAATGGACAAAAATGAGGGGGGTCTATATCCAGCAGTGAACGCAAAGGGCTGGGTGATGATGATGATGATTATGGAATGTGAAAATTACGGAATGTGAAAATTATATAGTTATAGCTCTGCAGGGTACAATATATAAAATGTTGACCCTAGTTATAAGAAATAGAACTAATTATTAAGCGAAAAGATGCATAGGGGAGTAGCGAACAGATTTTATACCAGGTAGATCGATAACAGATCAAATTTTTACAATTTACGAATGAACACGATTCATTCAATATGCACAAAAAAATTAAAGAAGCTGCAGGCTTATACAAACCTAGAAGAGTTGGATGTTTAGCAGACAACCAAGGTAATCCACTACTAAGTGTGGAAGAGAGACTAGACACTTGAAAGAAATATGTGGAAGTAACATTTGCAGCTAAAAGACAGATTGCCATTGAAGACATAGAATGCCAAACAGGACCCCGATTACCATTGAAGAAGTCACGGCAGCTATTAGAAAAACTAAAGATGGTAAAGCTGTAAGGTCTGACAAATTTTATACAAAATTCCTGAAATTTATGGACGAACAAGAAATACAATGGAAAACGACTATATTTAACAAAATATATATAACTGGAAATATTTCCCAAGGCTCGTTAAAGTGGACCTTTGTAACTATACCAAAAAAAATAAAATGCAAAAACATGTTAAGACTACAGAATAATTAGCCTAATGAGCCACTTACTTAAAACGTTTTTAAAAGTAATACATAAGAGAATATATAAAAAATGTGAAGAACAAGTGTCATTCATGGACACAATTTGGATTCAGAGATACAGAGAACTTTTGACCACTTTTTTTAAAAGGCGAAAGACAGCATATTTGGGGCATATACTTAGAAATGATAAGTACGAGTTGTTGTAGCTGATTATGAAGTGGAAAATCGAAGGAAAAAGGGGTCCTGGACAAATATCCTGGCTGAAAAACATTCACGCCTGGACCGGGTTAAACACACAGACGCTCTTAAGAAAAACAGAAGATAGAGACGAATTTGTAATAGTTCTAGCCAACCTTCATTAGTGGAGACGGCACTGGAAGAAAAAAAAACATACAAAGAAAGAATACAAATGTTAAAAGGGAACTTTTAAGTTCTAACTAAAGTGCGCAGAAAAATAAGGTCTTTTACAAAATTTTGAAAATTGATTTTTGCCCTACATAAAAAAGTATTGACTTTTTCCCAATACTAACTTATCAGAAACAAAAAGATTTTTTACCATCGGTAGAAAATATCTCTTACTGATAAATTACTGTAACTAACTGATAGATACTATCATCGTACAGCACGTTATTCTACAATTTAACTATTTAAAAATGTTACTATTAATCTTCCTGCAGATCAATGAACCAGACGGTCATTTACCACACTCAATTACTCCGCTAAAGTAGCAGAAAAATCACAATACGTGGAAAGATAAAAATCCGATACGCTTTACCATTACGAAAATCTTAATCGCAGAAAATAAATTACATTTTATTTCTAACGGCTCGATAGGAAATGCCTTAATTAACTTGTAGTTAAAATGTATCAGGAAATTAAAGAGTTTAAGTAAGTAATTTTACACAAAAAACGATATAATAAGTAGAATATTTGGTAAAATATAATTTTGGAACAAGAGATATCATACGATTTCCTACCTGGCGAAACTAAATTCAAATTTTTACCACTGTACCTTCTACAACTTGCAAAGCAAACAGCTTGATAAATTACTCGGCAAGGGAATCTAAAAATGCATTCCACCTGCCGTTCATCATAGTCAAAATTCGTAGTGAATTCAGTTTCTGGTACTTCAAAGTAAAGAAATAAAACATAATGACTGTAGTAGATTTTTGTTTCGATGCAGGGCAGCAGCAAGCCGCTTATACGTATTTTAACCTCTTTAGGTCTCAATGCCACTGCTCTGAATCGAATCTATCAAAATCTATGACGTCGTAGGCCAATAACTATCGACATAACTATTTACAGACGTAACAACGCCATCTAATAACAACAAGAGAAATCATACGATTTCCTACCTGGCGAAACTGAAATCAAATTTTTACATGCCTCGTTCATACTCGATTCTGCGTCAACTATTGTTTTAATAGATTGATGCCATATTATTTGTAGCTTTCTAATTTATTCGTGTGTTGTCTTATTTTTATCCATATCATGTTTTGTCATTTTCCCATTTGTCTTTACATTCTCGGCTATGTTCCTTTACATATCGATCTCCTCAGCATTATATCAGATTGGATGTATACGCAATATTGTTATATACAGAACCTTGCTCGTCTGTAGCCGTCCTAATAATATGAATGGTAGCTGTTGACACCATAATTTTTCAATGATCCTGACTTCGCGGCTATCAATACCTTTATCTCTTAATATTTTAATTAACTTATATTTTAATTAACATGCACCTTATCGAACACCTTCTCAAATCAATAAAAACGGCAACGACATCTGTACGTTGATCTCGACATTTCTGTAGCAAAATATACAATGCAAAAAGTACTTCTCTAGTTCCCAACCCATCTCTAAAACCAAACTAGAGAAGCTATACTTACTTGAAAATGATAGGTCCCTCATATCCTACAGGCGGCACCCAAATGAGATCTAAATGGTCCTTCGGAGTCGGATTGTTGTGCGTAACGGAATCTCCAGCGTGTCTACAGTCGAAAGCATGCGCTGGTGTACCTCCTGGTAATTGGAATGTCCCCACTATTTCTCCGTTCGGCGTTCGGCCTTGTATTAAGAATCCCTGGAATTTAAGACCTAGCGTCGAGCCTACGGTGAGTTGGACCACGTCGTTTTGCAGTCGAGATACGATGGAATACTGTGGCGGTCCTTTCTGAGCTGCCAGTCCACCTCCGTGGAAGGGTGCAAGGGAGTTACATGCTGAGGACGGTGCTCCGTCGGGAAATGCTTGCGTTGAGCAGATGAGGAATAGTAGGAACGGCAGTTTCATTGTAAATTTCTGAAAAAAAAAGATATATATTAACTATTTTACTACAACTGTAAAGGTGAAAGGTTACATTAACGTTTTTAGGTTTTTACAATAAAACGGAGAGGTTGGTCCTGTTTTACTTTGTTCTTACATTTTAATAATGCAGGTGAGATCCGAAACGACTTGAAACGATTCGAATCTAAATTAGAATTTACTAATGTTTGTATTTTGAAAACGATTTCCGAAGTGGAAATTGAAACGTCAATAAACGTACTTTAACCTTTAATTGTGGCTTATTCCCATTTAAATAGTAATTATTTCTGCTAATATTTTGATTAAGGAAATAGTAAAAGCATTTTATCCCAAGATTCTGGCAGATTTCAGACTTTAGAATAATTATACATGCATCGGTGGTATGGTGGAAAAAGTGACAGCAAAAAAGTAATCTTCAAACTCAGCAAGATTGTTGCAAAGGGAGCTGGCGAACTCTGAGGAGTTATGGTCTTAGCAAATTATATGCTCACTGCCTTGCGTGATATAATTTCTTCTCAACTCCTATAAATCAAAGGAATTTCATAGATTTTGTCCCAACTTTTGTAAATAAAATGGGCATGGAGACATAAGGAAAAAGAGTGACCTATAAAAGGATTCGGAAGTGAGTGATTTCTCGTCTCAAATAAAAGCATTTAGGGAACTCTCTATTTACCAAATAAATCTCAGTGACAACAACACGATCCTGTAGGCAAACCTTCACCACAGTAAAGAAAGGATTTGTCAGGATTTCCTGTTGTTACGAAAAGGTTCTAGTAACTCTGATACAAGAGCCTTGAGATACAGGATCAAATAAAAGGTTTATTGAGTGTTCGTGGAAAACTGATATATAGCCGATTTATCAGGGAAGAAATAACACAATATCAAGTAATATTTTATAAATATCGAAAAACCACACAGAGATAATTTGATATTAACTTTAAAATACTTCCCATGTCAGTTGCGGATTTACTGTTACACAAAAAACGCATTTTGATAATCGATTTACGTTTTTTTAATTCGAGATATACGATACTCAGAATGATATGCAAACGGGAAACACACAAGTGTGGTTAGATAAAATACCGCGACAAAGTGTATGAATTATATAATTATGCGAAATGACCAGTTGGAAAAATATATTGGTAATTATTAATTAACATAATATAAGAGTTGACTTAAAATAACTTTTAAACCATAAATTGGTTTATCTATGAATTCAAATTAAAACTGTCGTTAACAATTGGAAACATGGCTTTGTTTTCTCTAAAACTTCTTTGGCTTTTTATAATGTTATGAATATAACGAAAAATTAATTGAAATTGAAGCAACGAGAAGTTAGGAGACTTTTCTTTCGATGGTGAATTAGGTGAACAGTAAATCCAAGCTTACTGGCAGGTATTTGGCGATGTTATGAATAACCTTTTATTCTGACAATATATCTACAGTTTACCCTTGAAAAACACCATTTTTTGCACCTTTTACGTAGAGAAAAAAAATGTTGAAATGAAAATCAACGGTTGCATTTCTAACGGCTAAATAGTTGATTGCATTTTATTTCAGTTTAAGCTACCACAAGTGCTCTTGATGGAAGTGAATACTTCGAAACACGCGTTCAGCAATGGTGAAACTGAATTGCAAAGAAATGCAATTGTGTATTTTCATTTGATTTGAAATTATTTCAAAAAAAAATCTATTCTAATTCTTATAGTCAATGAGTATTATCAATATCCAGTTTTGAACATAGTGTTATTTCAATCTTGTTCATTTTTTTTATTCTGGGTAAATTATAATCAGTACAGCACTCTTTTATTGTGAATCTACAATTTAGGAGTAATAAATCTAGACTTCCACAAGGACTTTTAACGTTTTGACACTGAAAAGCCATTTTTGAATAGATTATTGTTTTCCACATTCTGTACAGCACGAAATCTGATTATTGCTTACGAGAAACGTAACAACTTGACATTTCTTACGCTCGCGACAAATTTTATAGCACAAGGTTTAACTTTGACGAAATAAGAACATTGCATATATTTTTTATATTATTAATAAAAGTAGATATAAACACTGTTATTAAAAGTAGCGATTCCGGTTACAGCGAGTGTTTCTAAGGTAAACGCATCATTTTATCAGCTAAATAAGTAAGTAGGTCATTTTTAAGTGTCAGTGTTGGAAATTGCAATAATAATGAATTGTGGAACAATTTGTAGCACATGTTTCAAATAATTAATATGTTTTTTATACGTTCTTTATATATATATTAAGTCAGTAGGATAGGTTGGTTTTTAAAAGATCTTCTGTAATAATTGATTCTACCGAAAAATAAAAAGAACATAAATTGTATCTCCTTCAAATATGAAAAGTCTGATATAATCCTGGTATAAGTCTGATATAATGCAACTATGATAGTACAACTAGACGAAAAGACGAAAATACAAATCCCATCCCCATTAAGAGAGGAGTGAGACAAGGAGACGTAATATCGCCAAAGCTTTTCAACCTAGCCCTAGAAGACGTCTTCAAAACTACAAATTGGTCAACCTATGGCATGAACGTTAATGGTAACAAGTTAAACCACCTCAGATTCGCTGAAGATATAGTGATTATAGCGAGCACATTCGAAGAACTGCAAATTATGATAGGGGAACTAGTAGGCAGCTCACAATACGTCGGCCTAAAAATGAATATACAAAAAACAAAAATAATAACAAACACAGATGATCCCAGACGTATCTATAACTACGTAACGTTCTACGTAACTATAAATGGCAGTGAGTAGAACAAGTCCAGGAATATATCTGCTATATATCTACCTAGGCTAAATCCTGAAACTTAACAAAGAGAACCAAAGTGCGGAAATTACTAGAAGAGCAAGACTAGCATGGGCAGGATTTGGAAAACTTAGTTGGATAATTAAGAACCGCAAAATACCCCAATACTTGAGGAGCAAAGTGTTCAACCAATGCATCCTTCCTATCATGACATATGGATGTCAAACCTGGAACCTAAGCAAGGCAAACATGAATAAACTAGCCAAAACAGAAAGAACAATGGAAAGAGCAATGTTAGGTATACGACTGTCAGATAAAAAGAGGAACGACTGGGTAAGATGGGCATTCCAGTATAAAAAAATATATTACATTCACTACTTTTCGCAGATGCACAAGTTATCTTTGCACAAGACAAGAAGGACATGGATTGAATGTATGATAAGGAAATTAAAGGAAGAATATGAAATATGGGGACTCAAGATAGGTATGTGAAAGACCAAATACTTAGATGTATTGGGTCCAAGATTGCAGATTTAAACTTAAGTTTGGAAAAAGAGACTATTAATAGTTGTAAGTATTTTAAGTATTCAGGGTCAATAGTAAGCCGAGATGGTACCTCTGAATGAAAGATATAGAAATGAAAACAGCACGAGGAAAACAAAGGCGGAGAAGAAGACCTGCTACAAGATGGAAAACATACATAGGAAATGCTATGATAGACAGAGACCTCAGAGAAATGACTGGGAAAGTAGAGTGCCGTGGAGGACAAAAACGGCAAACTCATAATGGGAAAAGCCAAAGAAGATGAAGAATACTATTGCACTGAAGAGTTGTCTATCTCCTATCTTACGCTTGATGTAGATAGTGCCCTAACTGGTACTTGGAATGCAATCTATGGTATTTCAACTGTAACAGTAATATCTATAACTCTCTAGGTTGGCAGTGAGTTCCATTTTAACAGTCCATTTTCGTAAAAACCCAACTGTTACGGAAACTCAAAGCAATCAGTAGGATGGATCTTTTGTCAATGATTTTGCAAACGAAATAATGTTGATAGTGAATGGGAAGTAATTGATAAAGCATCAAAATAATGTACCAAATACAAGAATATAAAGAGAAAGGAGTGGTTTCACATAAAGTATCAAAAAGAATTAGCAAACAGGGGTTCATTAATCACGAAGATAAAACAAGAAAAAGAATAGATATTTAGTGCAAAGGAAAATAGTAAAGAGAGAAAATAAGAGACAGTACGTAGCAAATAAACTAAAAGAAAAGGAAGATAACTACAAGAATAAAACGGAAAAAACCTTTAGCAAAAATGGCAAGAGGGGACATCAAAAAACCTATGTTTTTAAAAAAATAAAGCGGGAACACCAGCGAGCCCACTTAGAATGGCTGTCGAATATGGGAACTTCAAAGAAGACTCTAAACAACAGTCTAACCATAAAAAATAAAATAGAAAGACCAAAAAAAGAAACAAAGTAATCGAAAAAGATATGAAAGGAATAGAGTTAAAGTCGGAAAGGCAAAACGAGTAACAAACCTAGCAAGCAGAACAAAACAATGAAAAAAAAAGAAAGCATAAGCTTTTTAACACATGAGCTTTTATGGTTCTTAGTGTCATTAAATGTGTTTCATATCTATATAACAAGGCAGATTCTGTCAATAACGTTATCAATCGATATAACTTTTCTCTTTTTTATTGATGTTTTCATACTGAAATTGTTACATTTAGTTTGAGATAGCTCTTTGCAGGTCACTCTCAAACTTTTGAATGGTCAGCTGATTATTAGAAAAACGTATCATCATTTTATTTTTCTATGAATTTCACTTATAGACCGACAACTTTTTACCTTACTATCGTATTTACAAACAATCTCAAGGGCAGTAAAATCGTATCGGAAAGATATTCAATTATACTCATAAAAAATACATAAAAATGTGTTAATCATTTAGGCGTAGTAAAATTTTTTGATTAATAATCTGTGAAACACTGACATTTATAATAATTAAACATCAATTTAAGAATAATTTAAATGTATTTTGGTAGGTACTTTATGGAAAAACCAGATGACTAATAATCCGAAATGGGAGTGTTAATTTAAAAAAACGAACTACGCATAATAAAGCAAATTCCTTGAAACAGAAGAATTATTATAGGAAAATGTAGGGATTACCAACAATAAAGCGAAAAAAACAATTTGTATGATATTAGTT